ATTCTTACCAAAAAATATGCCACCTGCATCTAATCATGAGAATATATCTGAGAAATCCAAATGAAAGACATTGTCCAAAACAAAGACCAACAAGCTTTCAAAGTGTCAAAGTCATGAAGTGCCAGGAAAGACTAAGTAACTATCTGGAACTGAGGGGCGGGGCAGACATTAGCAGTTAACTGGTCAAATCAGAATGAAGACTAGTTTACTTAACAAAATTATTATTATAATTTTGGATTTTGGTACCAGGGATCACATTCAGGACCTTGAGCTTGCGAGGTAGACAGCAGCATCACTGAGCTAAATCCCCAGCCCAACAAATTATTTTTTAGATGGGTCTCTCTGTTGCCCATGCTGGTCTAGAACTGTGAGGCTTAAGTGACCCTCCTGCTGCAACCTCCTGAGCGGTGGGGTGTCCCGACACCAAGCCTAACTCGGCAATTTCTTTTCTTTTCTTTTTTTTTCCTGATACTGGAGATTGAACTCAGGACCTTGCGCTTATGAGGCAGGTGGAGGCACCACTGAGTTAAATCCCTGGCCCCTTGCAATTTCTTTCTTAGTTTCATTTCCAAGAGATGCTGTAGGAATTGAAAGATAATTTAATCCATTATCAATGACCACCGTATGAAGTACTAAGAGTTTACTGCTCATAAATTTTACGTAATGTAACACTTCCCTCCTTACTAGAAAAGATGTGATGGTTACTGTCTCACTCCTGCCTGGCCTAACGGCCTTCTTTGAGGTTGATACTAACATCACTCTGGACAGGGCAACAGGAAGCATCTGCGTATCCTACCACAAACGGAGATGATCCGCTTTCTTCATCTCGAGTATAAATTCTGTTAGTATTAAGTTACAGTACTTACCTACTTTTTTACATTTAAAACACTAAGACATATGGTATGGTAGATAGCTGCTAAGAAAGAAGAAATGATTTATGATGATAGGAATGTTTAGCTTTCCTCAATTGGTTAGTATTGATTCCTATTTTTCCTCTGTGGTTTAAAGGAAGTATGTCATGAAAGCCATTCTTTTTGTTTTGTTTTGTTTTTTGTCTCACTATGTAGTTCATGCTGGCCTCAACCTCTCAAGTGCTAGGATTACAGGAAAGCCTCTCTTACAAATGTTTTGTTCTAATGTTCTAGAACCAAGTCTAGGGACAACATAGCTTGAGGAATGTCAGTTAACAGTTGCTCAGTTACTGGAGAAGCAGATGGTACAACTGAACACATTCTACCAAATGGGGACAGGGAATATTCAAAGATAATGCTCAAGCCCGGGATTTAGCTCAGTGGTTCCACCATCTGCTTTGCAAGCACAAGGTCCCAAGTTTGATCCCCAATACAAAAACAAAACAAAAAATAACAAAACAAAACAAAGATAATGCCCAAATCTGCTAGTTTCTGTACCAAAGGCTAAGATGACAATATTTTTTCCTCCTGTATGTCTGCGGATTTTTATACCCTAGTTCTTATTTTTTGACCTATAGAGCTATTCACATAAAAATAACCTAGTCTATATACATTGTAAGCAATGTTACTGAGGAAGATTACACAATAGGAATACAGTTAATAGGAAAGAAAAAGTATACACTTAACCACTCTCATATTTTCAAACCAGAGTATGAAATGGCCACTTGGAATAGAATGCTTTTAGGTTACTGAAATGATTCGAATTGTAAAGACATTCTGCTGACCACCTGGACTTTTTAAGTCAGATTGATAGAAGTTCATGCTCACCTCCTCAGAGCCCTTCTCATTTAACCTATTTAAAAGCTACATCTGAATCTTCATGTAGTCTCAAGAACTCAAAATCTCAAATAGAAGTGGTACGTATTTTATGGCAGGCCCTATTCCAGATGCTAATTCAATAAAATAGACAAAATCAGAGCTGGGTGTGCAGGCACACACCTGTAACTCTGAAGGCAGAGGCAGGAAGATCGTTCAGAGTTCAAGGCCAGACTGAACTACATAGTGAGACCTGTCTCAAAAAACAAAACAAAAAACAAAAACAAAGGACAGAACTAGCCTTTATGGAGCTTGTATTTTTAAAAGTAGGATTTGAGCTGGGGGTGTAGCTCAGAGATAGGGCACATGCTTAGCACATGTGAGGCTTCGGTTCAGTCACCAACACTAAAAAAAAATTTAAAAAGTAGGATACACACACACACACACACACACACGAATAAAACATCCCTAAATTGGAGTCTTTTTTACCCTTGCAAGATGTACATTGTATGAAGGCAAGCATAAATTTCCCCAAGTTCCTCTCACCCATGCCTAGCACACTGTAGATGACTTGTACGTATTCCTAGAATACTTCAATAGCAGAAAATTTGTTTTGCATAAGTACAAAAAATGATCCTTTATTATCCGTTATCTGCTCAAACTTTCCTGCTTGGCTTTCGACGTTCTCTCCCTGGGCCCATGCTGCTGACCACTTCCCAGTATTCAGTCCCTGTTGGGCCCATGCTGTTCCCTCCACCTGGTGCCAACACACACTCGGCTGCGATCTGCATGGCCCCAGCCCATATGCCAGTTCCCTAAGGTCTCCGAGTGAAGCCTCTCAAGTGCGCTTGGTGGTCTTCAGGCAGGAAGGAGGCTCAGATTTGACAGCCGTCCACTGTCACTCAGCCCTCCCCAGGTGAGGTCAGTGCAGAGCCCCAAGCCTTCCCCAAGAGCCCAAGAGCCCTTTGCACTGTACTCGCTTACTCTGAGCACCTCCTAAGGCCGTCTTCACAACTGGAATGCAAGCTTTTACTATTCTTCCCCACAGGCAGCACCCACTAGATATAGTACTTCCCTACCCCCCAAAAAGCAAAATGGTTAGTCTGAATGTTTTATTTTAAATTGTTAAAAATCAAAACACCTTTCCAACAAATTCTATCTATGGAAATTTAAAAAATAAACTATATGGTCAGAACTTACTGTATGAAAAAATAGCTAGGGATGATGCTGCATCATCCCTAGTCTCAGCTACCTGGGAGGATGAGGTAGGAGGATTCTCATTTAAAGCCTACAGTAGGGAACTTAGAGAGATACTGTCTCAAAATAAAAAAAATTAAGAGGGCTAAACTGAGCACGGTGGGACATGCCTGTAATCTCAGCACTCAGGAGGCTGAGGAAGGAGGGTTTGCTGCCTGGGATACATGGTGAGTTCAAGGCCAACCTGAACTACACAGTAAGACTCGGTCTCAAAAAAAAAAAAAAGAAAAAAGAAAAGAGGGTTAGGACCAGGCATGGTGGCACAAAACTGTAATTCCAGCACTTGGACCAAGCTGGATTACATAGGACCCTGCCTCAGACAATAACAATCCCCTCAAAAGCAAGGGGCTGGGATGTAGCTCAGTGGTGCAGCACTTATGTAACAGGTACAAAGCCATGGGTTCAAGCACCAATGCTGCAAATCACACTCATACACAACAAAACCAAAACACTTATTTCTTAATTTTTTACTTAAATACTTTCCTGGAGAGTCAAAAGTTATATTTTATTTACAGGTAAAGAACTGAATGTTCAGAAGATCTACTTCCTTCACTGAACTCAATCCCATTTCTACTTTCATTTCTTTTTCAGTACAGAGAAGGCCTTAGTCTAATCTCCAAGTTTCCTTTCTTTCTCTTGACCACATGCCTGCCCTGTGGATCTGCCCTGGCTCCTTGGTGGCAGTGACCTGAGGTTCAAGGTACCTTTTGAAGATGCCTCCTGGCCAGGATCACACATTCTAGTCAGCCAGAAAATTCCCAGACATACTGGCTTGCTGAGCAGTAGAAAACCAAGTAAGAAACAGTATCTTAAAGCCCAGTAGTATCAAGTTCTTGTAGATATAAAACCATGCTCATTTCCTAGACTCTGTTCTATGAAACATATATGAAGTTCAATCATGTTTTTAAGAACTAATCTTTCATTTACTCAAGAGCACTAGTAACTTTAATCAAAAGGTGAAACCTCACAGAAATCCCACAGTTAAATATGTAAATAGGATTCTAATTAATTTGGTAATTACAGTTACAGTAATCTTTAACACTTTAGAAGATTCTAGAGTAAGGCTCCAAATTTTTCCGTTTTCAGATTAAAATTCTACCTTGACTTCACTTAGTATGAAGACAGCGAAGAGACTATAAACAGGACAGCTCTGGAATGGTTGCACAGGTCCCAGCTCCCGTATTACAGCTGGTCTCACTGACTGCCGCATCCCAGCAGTGTGTGTCACGAAGGAGGGTGCTAAGGCTGCGGGACTTGCCCACTTTGCAGTGGGTGAGTCAGCGTTAGCTCTGGGAATCACACATGGCTGTCTGATCTTAAACCCACCCTTTACTGCCTAACACAGGGCATTTAAAATAGGCCAAAGCTGGGCATGGTGATTCACACCTGTAATCCCAGCACTGAGGCGAGGCAGGAAGATCACCAGGTGAGTTCAAGGCCAGCCTGGGCTGCACAGCCAGACCTTGTCTCAAAAAAACCCAAATCAAAACAAACAAAACAACCAAAAACAAACAATAGGATAGTACTTGCCCTATCAAACAGTTTAACATAGTGGGCAAATGTTCAACTATTTTCTTTTTAGGATGACTTTAAAAAATATTTTATAATTCCTTTTACGCTTTCTTACCAGAAGAGACTTTCATCTCTAATGCTTTCGCGCAGGAGGCTCTAGGGTCTGGCCCCATGTTTTCTGCAAAAACATGAAAAACTTTGTTCCAGACTATGCATCTGGGTATTCAAAAAATATCTGGAAAAAGGATCAAGAGACTTTTTAATGCAGATATTTTGTATCCTACCTTGTGCCTTACACCTATTATCCATCTAATCCTCGGAACACCTTGGTGAGGTAGGTATTATTAGTATCTCCATTTCTGGGGGGGTGATACAGGGGATTGAACTTGGGTCCTTGCATGGTAACACCACTGAGCTAAATCCCCAGCCCTATTATCCCCATTTTTATAAATTAGAAAACAGCTTGCCCAGGGTCACACAGTAGAAACAGTGGAGCTCCATTTCTTTTTTTTTTTGACCGGGAATTGAACTCAGCGCCTCATGTTTGCTGGGCAGGCCCTGTGCTGCTGAGCCTGATCCCCAGCCCAGGAGCCCCATTTCTAAACTAGAGGATCTTGGCTTTACTAGCTAGGCTCTTAGCCACTCCAGCCCCTCCTGCATATGTGAAGAAACAAAACTAAAAGCAAACCAAAGAACCCTGGAAAACAACTCAAAGCATTAAAGTAAGAATAGGTCACTGTGGACTCATGTTGGCATCTGAGGACTTCAGAGACAATGTGTTGCCAGCTTTTTCATCACAGGGACAAAATACCTGAGCCTAAAACTTGCAGGAGGAAAGGTGTATTTGGGCTCAGAGTTTTTCAGTCCATGGTTGATTCCACTGCTGTGGGCCTGAGGTGAGGGCATGAGCATGTGGTGGAGACTGGATCCCTCATGGTGGCAGTGGTGAGGCCTGAAAAGAGAGAAGGACGGGTGGGGAAGACATAAAGAGAAAGGGACTGGGACCACTACATCTCTCCAGGGCACACCCCAGGGCCATGGCCTCCAACTACACCTCACCCACTACAGCTCCAGCCTCCCCAACAGTCCACTTAGTCACAGACCTAAGAGTGGATTAATCTATGGATAAGGTCAGAGCCCTCAGTTGGTCACTTAATAAAAGCCTCAAATCTGGACACAGTGGCACTGTGGTCAGCAATGGAATCTTTCCAGAGAACTCTGGATCCAGCACAACAGGCTAGATTTTAAGCAAGGCAACAAAGCAGAGTGGGGTTTAACTGGCCATACTGAGAGCAGAGAATATCAAGATGAGGGGCATCAAAAGAGATCAGTCATGGCTTCCTATGCAGGCAGAGAGCATCAGCCTAAGAGGAGGGTGAAGGCGGGTAGTTTTTAGTGCAATCCTGTCTGCTTTTGTCACATTTCTTTTTCTTTCTGCTTTTAAGATTAAAACAAAATGGGGGAGGTGAAAGAAAATGCAAATACCTATAATAAGATCACTTGGTACCCAGACACATACAACACAAACTGGGTATGATGGTGCACTCTGGGAGGCTGAGGCAGGAGGATCACAAGTCTGATCCCAACATGGGCAACTTAGGGACATCCTTTCCCAAAATTAAACAACAATAACAAGGTCTGGGGATTTAGCTCAGTCTGTGAGGGCCCTGGGTTCAAACTCAGTATCACACACACACAAAAACCAAAAACAACAAGAAACAAAAACTTCATAAATTCCAGCGTATTCAGAGTAAAGTATAATTTTCATTTCCTTTTTTTTTTTTCTTTCCTTTCATACCAGGGATGGAACTCAGGACCTTGCACTTGCAAAGGGAGGCACAGTGCCACTGAGCTAAATCCCCAGCCCTTCATTTCTTGACTGAGGTCTTTTCTCCTCTGTGCTATAAACACAACCTTACCATTTTCTATTTTTGATAAACTCTACTATCTGAAGGTAAAGTGCGCTGCTTGGGAGATGTTTAGTTACTCCTTATTTGATATGAACAAAAAGATTCTCCCCATACTTCCCCTCTTACCCCTGAATTCTGGCTGTCTATAGCATCAAAACAACACAGCAAAGATGTCTGAACACAGGAAGTGCAGACATATTAGTGGGCTGCGTTCCAGAACATGAGTGTAAATTAGTTGTTTGAAATCTGGAATTCATTTTCCCATGGAAATAGTGGTTAAGTCCCCAGTGGGTCTACAAAAGCTCACCTCACCAGGAATGCAGCAGAAATGAACACTGTCACCTTCGTGCTAACCTCTGCAAATTATCCTGAGGTCTCTGTGGATTTCTCACCTTACTACAGTGTTTTAGCGAACCCCACTTTGAGGTCAGGGTTTGTTTTCATTATTAATTATTATTAAGGTTATGATGTGCAATTCCACCCAAATCCAATCTGTAACATTTTAAGGTGTTTCCTTTTACAAACCATTACATAAAACCTGACTTCTGTTAGAGGATTATTTCCTTTTCTAACATTAGGATTCCACAGAATGGCTCCAAATGCCCACAGCCCAGCTACAATGTCTTGTGCAACAGCACCAGGAATGTATTTTGTCACTGACACACTCACGTGCACGTGCCCTGACCTCTCAAAGCCACCTCCCACTCTCTTGGTTGTTGCATGTAATCACACAACAGTGCCCGTGTCTGAGCACTCTGGGAAAGGGATTAGGAGTCAACAGATCACCTGCTGAACATACACTAGGACTACAGGTAGATCTTTCTTACACAAATTTCACACTGAAATTATGATATAAAATGTCCACCAAATGCAATGCTTATCTCCAGGTGAATCTTTCTCACATAAATTTCATACTAAAATTAAGATATAAAATGTCCGCCAAATACAATGCTTATCTCAGAATAGTTTCTTGCAGGGCACAATAACCACAATAAAAGCAAAATCTTTGTTTTAGGTAAAAACACTGCCAGCAAATGTTTCCAAAACAGAATTGCTTAATCTGAGAAAAAGAAATGTAGTAGAGTGGGGTTTTGTTGTTGTTGTTATTGTTATTGTTTTTCTTTTATTTTTTTGTACCAGAGATCGAACTCAGGTCCTTGAGCTTGCAAGGCAGGTGGCAGAACCACTGAGCTAAACCCCTGGCTCTGTTATTGTTTTTTAAGACAGGGTTTCCCTATGTAGTCCAGGCTGGCCTTAAACTTGTGATGGATTACAGGCATGCACCACCAGGGCTTCACTAAAGTGGTTTTGAAAGCTCTTAGGCTGTGTTCAGCCCTCTTCTGCCTCCTTGCTGCATTACCCAGGCTGGAGCGCAATGGTTCCACAGGTGAGACCCCAGTACTCACCAAGCTGCCCCATCCTAGTAAAGCCCCATGCCCAGGACGCTAACACAGTGATGCTGATCTTATTGTGGACACCTGATCAGCTTCAGCACAGCACACTACAGCCACAGACCACAGGGCTTAAGTGGTCCTCATGCCTACTAGGTAACCTTAATAGCTGGCACCCCCACCACACTTCAATCCTTGGGAGGCTGTGGGAATGACCTTAGAATCTGACTTTCCAAGGGTTAGAAAAAGCATCCGTGTGATTAGGGGAGGTTCAAATCCCTACCCATGCTCCAGGATAACCACTCAGTTTGTACAACCACGTCTGCTGCCAACGGGTTTATATTTTTTCAACACTTGGTGATTCTGTCAGCAAACATATGCCAAGGCATGGCTTTACTGCTTAAAGACTCTTTTGTCCTTTGTGCTACTGGGGACTGAACCCAGGACCATCACACTGAGTTACGTCCTCAGCCATTCCTTTATTTTTTATCTTGAGACAGGGCCTTGCTAAATTACTAAGTTGCCCAGGCTGGGCTCCAACTTGTGATCTTGCTTTGCTCTTGTAGAGTGCTGGGATTGCAGGCCCATCCCACAGTGCCCAACCAAGTTCTATTATACATGCGTACATCTTCGTGTGCGAATGAAACCTTTTAAGAATATAGGTGGCCTGGCTGGCGATTTAGCTCAGTGACACTGTGCCTGCCTGGCAAGCGCAAAGTCCCAAGTTCTCGATCTGAGGTACTAAAGAAAATAGGTGGTCATTTCTTAAGGTAGTATCTTTACTCTGGTATTCAGGACTGAACTCACGCTAGGTAAACATTCTACCACTGAGCAAATATCCCAAGTGTAGGTGGTCACTTTTTACAAAACTAAAACCATTAATACCAAGAGGGAGATTTATTTGTTGAAGATTCTAGAATAAAAATATGAAGGTAAGAGTTTCCTATTGCAAGTAAGGACCAGAGAGCTACTTTTGTATCAAAGGCATAATAGAATAAATAGGCCACTGCTTTATATTATTGACTGCTTATTTTCAGTCTATCTCTTAATCACATTACATCTCAACTGACAAGCATGATTATTTACCTTTTTTGCATTTAAAACATTTTTCCAGCATTAAAATCAACTACTTCTGGCCTTCACAGAAGGGGACTAAGCCACTAGTTGTCACTGTGAATGAAGAGGACTCCCATGGCTGGGTACTAAAATTTGTTTTGGCAAAAGGCACCTACCTGGCAGAAACCCAGCACTTCTAGATACAGAAGTCGGTGTTGTGGGTGATACCTTGCTTACCTTGGAAACTACCAAGCAGGAGAATTTAGAATCTTGTTGGATAGCTTTGAGGCCAAGAAGGCTCATCCTCTCTGACAGGAAAGATAACCTTCCTAACTATATACAAAAAAAAAAAAGAAAGAAAAAGAAAAGAAATATAGTACACAACTTTTATAGTTTTTGGTGAAATTAAATAAGAACACATAAATAAAAGCGTCTAAAAATGTTACCAAGATAAACTAGGTATTTGATAACTTCAGCCAAATTTTGAGTAGCAAGATTCCATGGGGTGGAGTAGGGGTGCAAATTTCGTGAGATTTCTTTTTGGTTGAGTTGTAAAACCCCAAATTTTGGCTTGTTAGCTAGGATGATGGATTAATGTGGATTATAGTCATGCACAACTCAAGACTTATTGTACAGACTAGCTTACCCCGACAGATATCATACAAACTCATTTCTGTGATGAGAGGGACTGCATAAAAAGGTGAATAGCTTAATGCAAACAAATACATCTTCATTTCTGGAAACACTGAAAGCATGTGTATAAAGTTATGTCATATAAAAGGCAAAATAAGTTCACAGCAAACATACTTTTGAAGTCCACTAGAGGTCTACGGAAGTAATGAGTTTGTTCTGACCAATGTGTTTAACTCCAAATGTTTAAAAAAAATTATAAATATAACTCTTGACAACTGAGTCTTCCAAGACGATAGCAATATGCTAATTTTACTTTAACTATGATATTTTTTTCCATTAAAAAGGGAGGAAAAAACCATGAAAATCTGGAATATGCAAATTTAGATAGAGGGTAGAAAAAAGTAAATATACCATATGTGCATTATCTGAACTCACCTGAAAGTTATGACAATTTCTAAATTTGGAGGCTCAAAAAAACAAACCATATTAAGCAGAGCCACTAGTCATTTGTAAACGTTTTGTAATAGACTTCAAATGAAAGAAACGGCTTACTGATGCAAGGCACTAACATTACAAATTCACTGCTGCTAGGTTAGCCAATATGTGTCAGAAAAATAACAACTGATGCAAGGGAGTGGGATCCCTTGCTCACCTCCGTGCTACCTCAGTGTTAACTTTGATTGCATTTATCTATCAAAAAATAAACTCATGACATCCACTGCCATATGAGGAGGCACTATAGGCTGGCTGCACACTGCCTGAGAGTTCTGAACCAATGTTTCAACTCTAACAAAAATAAACACATTCCTCAATTCGGGGATGGACACTGGATGCAGGCAGTAACACGTGTAAGCATCACATACCTAAACTTTAAAGAACTAAGATAAGAAAACCCCAGAAATGTCTAGATATCATTCTTAAAAGCTTTACTTAAAGAAAACCTAAGGCAGTCTCTAAATCTATTTCCAGATTCACAGTAACCTTCCTTCACCGGGGTAGCCCATCATAACAGAATTAGGATTTTTTTTTCCAGCTGAGTGGTCAGCTATACACTGGAGGATGGTCTCAGCTTTTATTTACACTGTGGAAAAGAAACAGCTGTATTATGGCTTTTCTGGATAGTCAATGGGATTTATTTACATTGCTTGGAGGGATGGAGACAAAAGGCATCTCTTTATAATTGTCTTGCAGCAGTTTGAATTTGGAAGATTATGTATAACACAGATTTTTATATCTAATACATGAAAATACACACACGATAATATACGTTCACTGTGAAGTCTCCTGAAGTTCAAATTTACAAACTGACCAACCAGACCCAGAACTTATACCTGTCATAGAGAAAAGTCATGATTAGCCTGAAAAAAACAAAACACCACGGTCACTAACACGAAAAAAATTAAAATAGAAAATAATAATCACCGGAAAACCTGTGTCCTGTAAAGATTTCTTTCCATCAGAAGACGCAGAAACATTTTTTCCCCTGGAACAAATGAAAACGTGGCTCATACACCCCCAGATTCTTTGCTGCCGGTCCCCTCAGGCGCCGGTGTAGACGGCCAGTGTGGACTTTTTTCCAGAGATGAGAAGAAATTTGTACTTTCTCGGGAGCGAGTGCACTTTTTCCCCCGGCCCCCTCTGCTGCTCCAAGATGGTAGGAAAGTTGTCGTTTCGGAGGGCAGAGGAGCCGCTCTCTGGTGTTATGTCCTCGCAGTGCCTGTAGTGGTGCTGTAGGAGGCTGGTGCTTCTTCTTGTGCAGCCCGGCAGCCCTGCCTTCTTGGCTTGAGAGTATATTCAGGGATTTCCCCTTAATAATCACCGACCCTGGGAGCACTTTTTACTTTCCAAAATAAAGAAAATATGATCCTCACCCCTCTTGCTTGACAAGCAAAGGTTCTCGCCGAAGCCCAAGAGGGAGCAGTAACAGCAGCAGCCGAGCTTCCTACTCCAGTGCCAGCGCCTCTCACTCTGATCTGCCAGCCCAGCGGAGGGAAAAGGGGGGAAGGAGGGAAGAA